TAATAATCACTTCAATTTATAGTTTCTTTATACAGTGACTGAGGAATGTGTAAAATGTTTTTAAAACTGAGCCATGTGTCCTTTCACAAATATCCAAATTAAAAAAAAGAAACCAAAAGAAATGTAATTAAAAAAAAACCAAAAAAACAAGATATGGGCTGTGGATGTAGCTCAGGGGCACAGCACCTGAGAACTCGGGAGGCCTGAGTTACCTTCCCAGTACAAACAAACAACCACAAGGGATCACTGAAAACACTACTTTTAGAAATACAGTGGGTGTTGATGAAGGATCGTCTCATTTTGTTAAAACTGACTACAAATGTATCCAGTATCTCTTTATTGGTGAATGTAACAAGGCTTCTCTGCACAATAACCCTTGCCATTTGCTATGCGACATGAGCAATATTCTCAGATTGTCCTTCTGGAAAGAATCACGCAATTTAAGACAATCGGCTGCCAGGAAGGACAAGTAATTGTCTCCGCAAACGCGGCCTGCAGGGTCCCTGCGTTTTACCCACGCCTCCCTCTGGCCAACACCCCCTTGATACTTCAGCTCTTTTCTGTAATCCCATGGTTCTGAATGAACAGATGAGGTACAGCAGAGAAGGAAAAAGTGATTAATAAGACACGAAATGTTATATGGGGATGAATTAAAGTTTTGTATTTTTCTGTTTTCTTTTCGTTATAGATGCAACTATTTATCTAAAAATACTAAGTGCTGCCTCCACCAGCATTCAATGAAATGGACCAACGATTCTTAATTACTGGAGTGACTGTTTCATCTCAGGAGACACTAATAGGTGAAATGAGTGGTTTGTACTGAAGGTTTTCTCTTACAGTTTATCAGAGTCACAATGTCGCTAGTTATGAAAGCAGCTAATTAACATAAATTGATTAAGAGCACCAAAGAACTTACACATGAAACTGATTTTCTAATAAGCACATGTTGAATGAAGTTGTTGTTAGATGTAGGATTGAGCTTTTTTAAAGTCTTATTTTGTTTGTAACTGATGCATCCAAATGACAGGTCTGTGGGTCACAGTGTGACATTTTGATTGGGGTAGCACATTGCGCAATGACCAGATGACGGTTCACAGCACACAGAGGATCTCAAACGCTTGTCTCTTCCTTGTCACATTCAGAGTATGCTTTTCTAGCTACTGAGGAACACGCTACAGTCCTCTTAGTCACCGTCACCGCCTATGCTGGTGAACAGCTGAGTGGATCCCATCTGCTGATGGCCAGTCCCTCCCTGTCACACCACCTACTGTACCCTGTCTTCCCCTGCATGACTGAGGGGTCCCTGTTCACCACGCCGGGAGCTGTCTGTGGCCTGTCATGCGTACACGAGGCAGGTCGCCCTGGCTTCCCCGCGGCAAGACTGAGGACAGATCAAATGCTACAGTCCTGCACTCACCGAGATGATATCGTGCCTACCTTGGGAATCATCCCACCAAGTTACTGGTGCAGCAGCAGGGATAGCAGGAGGGCATGACTGGAACAAAATCTAGAACAGCTGCTACACAACCAAGAACTTCCCCCAGGATGATGCTTTCACTATCAAACAGAACGCACTTTTCTTCCAGATTGAAGAGGAGAAAGGAGGAGAAGGTTGGAGAAGGTCACCCCCCTCAGTGTTGGAGCTGGGCCTGGCAGCTGGCTTTACTCACTGTTCCTTCAACAAGGAACAAGAATATATTTTAGACTCTTGCGAATTGGGAGACTTTAGTTGCTGTTAAACATTTTATTTTTAATAACTGCAGCAAGAAGGTTCTTGAGAAAATGAAATAAAAATCAGCAGCTTACACAATTAGAGGAAAGTATAAAATTCTACATTTGGGTGGGTTATGAAATAGATTTTATTTGATTCTTACGGTTCTGTGGCATAATTGGGAAGATGACTTTCCCATGTTGCAGAGACTGAGAGCCAGAGAGAGAACACTGACAGATTTAGCAGAAACAGAGGACACACCAGATGTGGTGGTGCACACCTGTAATCCCAGTACTCGGGGAGGCTGAGGCAAGATGATCATGAATTTGAGCCCAGCCCAGACAAGGTAGCAAAACTCTGTCTCAAAGAAAAAAAAAACCCCAATTTTAAAAAGGGGGGTTGGGCAGTATTTTAATGAATAGGCCGTGGGTTTAATCCCCAGTACAGTAAAGAAAAGAAATAATTTAAAGATAACCAGTTAAGTTTAAATTTAAGTACAAAACAAGTAGTGTTTTAGAGAAAGTACAGTACTGCAGTGGGCATACTTGTGCTAATTGATTCTTCAGTGTCAGCCTCTGTGGATATCTCTCGTTTTCTCTGGCAATCCCAAGGCGACACAGGTGAGAAGTCAAGTCTACAGGGCACGGCCAGGGTCTAGGATGATGGCTTAGCCACGGTCAAAGCCCCTTCCACAGCTCTCTTCCAGTGGCCCAGTCAACAAACTGCAGCCTCAGCTGCGTTTTTCATGTGTTTAGTGAAGAGAAAGCCAGGCGTACATGAATGTTTCCAGCTGATGACTGCAGCTGACGGGCCTGCAGTTTTGTATTTTCAGAGCATCTCTTGCCGCATTATCTCACTGAGCACAAAATCCTGCAGGTGCTAACGTGAGGAGGTATTAATGTTCTGTGTGTTCTAACCTTGATGACTCAGACCCAGAAAATCAGGACATGCACCCAAGTCCTCAGTCCCCTGGGGCAGTGTCTGCAGGTGAAAACCTGGGTAGGTGAAGGTGCGTGCTCTGCTTCTACTCGCTGAGAAGACAGATGCTATGGAAAGACCCTCTTCAACCTTTGGTGTAATGAGCAGTAAGGAGGGATCAGCCATGCTACGTTGGGTTGCACCGAAATGGTACAATGAGAGGTAAGTGTGATGTGCTGAGAATATTATTTTTTTAATATGTCATTGCGAAGTCTTTAAACCTGAAAGCGTTAAACGCCTCACAAGTATGTCTTGCTGTAAATGGAAACACACTGTCCTGCTTCTCCTAGGGGGTCCCTGCCTTTGCTATTGCACCAGGTGGGCACCCCGGGCCTGCAGGGTGGTGTCCAGGGGCCTCCAAGACCAGGCTAAAAGCAGGTGATGAGCATCAGCCAGATCATTCCTACAGCTCCTGCACTAAAGCGACCGTGCGGATTCAAGCATCTGAAGATCTTCCCACCAGGAGGGGAACAAATGTCCGCACACTTTAAAATATCTGACGGTCAGGGTTAAAGAATTGACTTGCTGAGCATTAAAATGAATGGACTGCAGAAGACAGTTTGCCGGTAAATGGAAAAGTTAAGAGTCATTTGTAAAGATGTCCCTCTTCCCCTCTGCCTCGGTCCTACTCGCTTCATCCACACTGCGACTCCCTTCCCTCCTGTCACCTCTTCCCCCACGCAAGCCTTCCTTTTCTCTCTTTCTTGCATCATCCACTTCTTTCCAGCTCGGACCGCTTCATTTTTCATTATTACACTAATTTTCTCTAACACTCCCTCTCTGTTCCCTCCACTTCTCCTACGTGGAATTTTAGAATGAGGTAATTTCTTGAAGATTGACAAGCTACCTATGGCTGTGAGTTATTGATAAATGTATAACATCTGTTTTTTTATGGGTAGAAGCACAAAGTGTCCAAGTCCTATATTTTTAATTGCATTCAGAAATGTTGTACAAGAACTGATAAATTTGAAGGCTTATTTCACTACGTTTATTACGTGATGCATGGTATTATCTTATAAATTTAATTTTAGAATTCCTTGGTGTATATGTAATATGGAACATGTTAATAAAGCAACTGAGAAGTCTTTTAAGTGTTGGAGTATTAGGGAAAAATATTTCTATGAGAGGAAAATTCTACTATCAAGGTAATTACCGATGATAATTTTCCTTACATCACGTATTAACACTGGTATTTTATTATAAATTATTTATTGCAATATTTAGGGTGCTGGATTTCTGTAAAAGAACAATCACTGCGGATCTTATCTTTAGGTGTTTGCAATCACCCAGAACACACAAAGTTTTTACCTAATCTGTGTACTGATCAGTCTGAAGACTTCCAGGGACTGTTATTTGTTACAATACAAAGCTTGCTATAATCAATTTTTTATTTCAGTGCTTTTTACTATGAACAATTCTATTTATTAAGCATGTCCAGATAACCCCAGTTTCAAAAAATAAGCCTCCTACTTAAGGTCACATTGTGCCCACTGAAAGCCAATTTCGTACAACACTTTCAATAATTCAGGTCCAGCTTTTGAAAAAGCAAAATCCATTTTGTGTTTGGCAACTCATTCAGCGAGTGGAGAGGTTAAAAATACCAACAAACCTTTCGCTGAAAATATTTGCATGGGTTCTCAGGACATACTGTGACAAGCTTTTCACTGTTGGTATAGAAATTACTATTTATATCTCCTCACCTCTCCTTTCTAAAACTAAAGAGCATTAAAAGATATTGTTTTAATTTCTAAAATATTCTTATCATCACTGAATATATTTGATCAGTTAGCTGCCCATAATTCATCCAGTTTAGCACAAGAAGCTCACTTCTTCACAGGATTTCCTCTTACTTCCTGTCATATTCATTGTAACAAGTCCACATTTACTGATTAAGGCAAAGCACTAACTCTTCTGTTATAAATAACAATGTAAACACAAAATCTGGAGAGAAATATTTGCGCTAGCGTCTAAAAATAGTACTAATCTCTCTACTGTGACTCACAGTCCAGTCCATGCTAGAACACTTGTGCTCTTGCCTCAGGAAAGTTTCTGGGTTCGTGTGACCTCCCGCTCCAGGTTCTCATCTGTTCTCTCTGCCCTCCTTGCTTGGTGAGGCTGCAGGTACAGCCAGCCCAGTCACACCTCAGGAATCCAGGCACAGAAAACTGCGATCATTTAGGAGTCATATAAGGAGAGCAGGTTTTGTCATCATAGAGGCAGTGTACCGTGATCCTTGACAAAGCATTCCCAGGGGAAACTGCAGCTGGAACTCGTGATTTCTTCTCCTAACTATCGAGTATCCACCACTTACCTGGATAATAGCGGGCCAGGCCAGTGGCACTGCCAAACACCTGCCACAGCAAGGTAGGGTCTTCCTCTCGGTTTTTCTTGAAAACTTCATCTAAGGCACTTGTCCAGTTGAGTTCATTCAACACTATTGTTGCTAATAAAAAAAAAAAAAAGAAAAAAAATCCATTCACTCCAACTTACTGAAAATCGAATCTTTTTGCTTTTACAAAATTAGATGACATATTCTCCTTACTCTGCCTTAGAAAGCACTGTAAACTCAGTGGTTATCAGAAAGTTGCTTCTTCCAACAAAACTTGCCCTGACATGACACCACCGCCATCCCTCCTGCGGGCAGCTGTGGGGGACAGTCCCACACACTGTGGGAAGTTGGGCAGAGTCTCTGTCCTCTCGCGGGGGCTGCAGAGCCTTTGCCACAGCTGGGACCAGCAAGAAGAATTTTATCACTACACTGTACAGTGTAATGACATTCATCATTGGAAATTCACACCCTTACTTAATCCATTTGCTTATTTCTTCCCCATTCCTTTGCCCTCCCTTCCCACCCCTACCCCTCCCTATTTACAAAGACTTTGTTTCCATGTTTCCTTTTCTCATGTTAATTCCATTCCCTCCTCTCCTTTCCCTACTCCTCCCACTTCCTCTACTCTTGTAGACTTTTCTACTTAATCCACAATATCAATTACACACTTTAATCCTTATTTACACTTTTACTTTTTCACATCAGAGAAACTTCAGTATTTGCACCTGCGTAACTTATTAATTACACTTAAGAGCACGGCATCAGTGTGCATCCACTTAGCTATGTGTCTGTCCAGTTTCTCATTCTTTAAGGCTGAGTAGTACTCTATTTTACATTAAAAAAAAAAAACACATCTTCTTTATCCAGTCTCTAGTTGATGGGCAGGTGGGCTCTTTCCAAGTTTTAGCTATTACAAATTGTGCTGATATAAACATGGGTGAGCGTATATCGCTGTGGGATGATTCTTTTCTTCCAGGAATCTACCCAGCAGAGGGATGGCTGGGTCAAATGGGACCTCTAATTCTAGTTGCTTTAGGTATCTCCATATTGATTTCCCCAGTGGTTGCACCAGTCTGCACTCCCACCAACAATGAAGAAGGGTTCCTATCTCCGCACAACCCAGCCAGCATTTGTTATTGGTTGATTTCTTGATAGCAGCTATTCTTTGTGAGGTGAGATGGAATCTCAGTGTTGTTTTCATCTGTATCTCTCGAATGATCAGTGATGTTGAACATTTTTTATAGGATTACTTGCTTCTTTTACTTCTTCATCTGAGAAATGTCTGTTCATTTCAGGTGCCCACTTTTGAATTGGGTCTTTATATTTGGGGGTTCTGATCTTTTTGAGTTCTTTATATATTCTCGATAGTAGATCATTGTCTGAAGAACAGCTGGTAACAAAATTTTTTTTCCACATTGTGGGTTGTCTCTTAGCTCTGCTTGTGATTTCTCTGGCAATGCAGAAGCTTTTTAAAAAGATGAGATCCCAATTGTTGATTCTTTGTGCTAATTCCCAAGCTACTTAGGATTTGGTCATAAAGCCTTTTCCTATGCCGATATCTTCAAGGGTTCTACCTAACCTATCTTCCAGCAAGTTTAGTGTTTCCATTTTAATATTTAGATCTTTAATCCACTTGGATTTTAGTTTATAGCACAGTGAAAGACACAGGTCTAGTTTTTATCTTTGACAAGTTGAAATCCAGTTTTTCCAACACCATTTATTAAACAGGCTATCTTTCCTCCAGAGAGGTTTTTGTCTCCTTTGTCCAAGAGGAGGTAGTTAACTATGTCAGGAAATGTTTCTGCATCTTCTAATCTTTTGCACTGATCCTCCATTCCGTTTCTTTGCCAGGACCATGCTGCTTTTATCAATGTGGCTTTGTAGTATAGTTTCCAACTGGGGATTGTGATACCCCCTGCCATGTCTCTGTTGCCTAGAATTGCTTTTGCTTATTCTATGTCTTTTCTGATTCCAAATGAATTTTTAGATTGTTTTCTCAAGTTCTATGAAACATACTGTTGGGATTTCAATAGGGATTGCATTGAATCTGTATAGCAGTTTTGAAAGTATGGCCATTTTCACTATATTGATTCTTCCTACCCAGGAAGAAGGGATGTTTTTCCATTTTTCTTATCTCTTTTCAATCTCTTTTTTGAGCACTGTAGTTTTCACTGTAGAGGGCTTTTGTCTCTTTCATTAGATTGATTCCTTAATATTTCATTTTTTGGATGCTGTTATGAAAGGGATTGTTTCTCTCCTTTGCCTCTCAGTGAGAGTGTTATTTGTGAACCAGAAGGCTATTGATTTTTTACTATTTCCCTTGTATCCAGCTACTCTACTGAATCTGTCAATCAAGTTCAGAAGTCTGTTGGAGGAGTTCTTCGGGTCGTCTATGTAGAGTATCATATCATCGGCCAATAATGACAGTTTCACTTCTTCCTTTTCCTAACTTTATTGCTTTTATTTCTTTCTCTTGTCTAATTGCTATGATTTTAGCTTGAAGGTTTTCATATTTTGACAATTTATTATGACGTTGGTTGTTGGCTTTTCATAGAAAGCCTTTATCTATTCCAATTTTCTGTAGGGTTTTTATCACGAATGGGTGTTGAATTTTGTGGAATGCTTTTTGTGCATATATTGAGAGGATCATATGGTTTCTGTCCTTGATTTGGTTAATATGGTGAATTTCATTTATTGATTTACATATGTTGAACCATCCTTGCATCCTTGGGATAAATCCAACTTGGTCAGCATATATAATCTTCTTGATGACCCTCTGTATTCCATTTGCCAGTATCTTATTGAGGATTTTTGCATCTACGTTCATTACAGAGATTGGTCTGTAGTTCTCTTTTTTGGTTGGGTCTTTCCCTGGTTTTAGAATAAAAATAACACTTGCTTCCAGGAACGAATTTGGAAGTATTGCTTCTCTTTCAATTTTATTGAAAAATTTAGAGTAGTGGCAGTAGTTCTTCTCTAAATGTCTTGTAGAATTCAGCAGTGAATCCATCAGGACCTGGGCTTTTCTTTGCTTTTAATTACAGTTTCATTTTCCTGATTGTAATTGGAGTGTTTAGAATTTTTATATTTTCTTCATTCAACTTGGGTAATTCATATGTATATAGAAATCTGTCCATTTCTTCTGTGTTCTCCATTTTCAGCCTTCCACCGCCCTTTTTAAAATAAGATTGGCTAAGGGTTTATAGATTTTATTTATTCTTTTGAAAAACCAACCCTTCCATTCGTTGATATTTGTATCTTTCTCTTAGTCTCCATTGCATTGATTTTTGCTATGATCTTTACAATTTCCTCCCTTGTATGAGCTTTGTGTTTCTCTTGCTCTTTGTTATCTAGGAGCTTAAGATTCACCATTAGGTTACTTGAGCTTGCTTGATTTCCTAGTGTAGGAATGCACTGCTATGAATTTGTCACATAAAACTGCTTTCATCGTATCCCATAGATTCCTGTATGTTGTACTGGCATTGTTATTGAATTATAAAAACTGATTTTTTCTGTAACTTCTGTTGTGACCCGCTGTCTGTTCAGGAGAGTGTTACTAAATTTCCATGTGTTTATGAAGTTATTATGGTTTCTTATGCTATTGATCTCGTTTTCTTCCACTATGATCTGATAACAGGAGATAATTTCAATTCCTCTGCATTTATTTAAAACATGTTCTATGAGCTAGTATGTGATCATTTTGGAAAATGACTGGTATGCAGTCAAAAAGAATGTATATTCCAATTTTGTGAGGTGGAACACCCTGTAGACATCTATTAAGTCAATTTTTTCAAAAGCTTGGTTTAGTTCTGGCATTTCATTGTTGATTTTTAGTGTAGATTATCTGTCTATTTGTGACAATGGGGTATTGTCATCCCCCATTACAGCTGTATTAGTATTAATTTGGTGTTTCATGTGCCTTAATATTTGTTTTGCATAGTTGGAGGGCATTAGTATTTGGTATATATATATATATACGATTGTCATCTCTTCCTCTTGGATTGTTCCCTTTACAAGGATGTGTTGATTTTCTTTGTTTGTTTTAATTAATTTCGGTTTGAAATTTACTTTGAAGGCAAATAAGATAGCTACCCCTGCTTTTTTCTGTGTTCCTGTCATACGGGGAACTGTTTTCCATCCCTTTACTTTCAGTTTATGAGTATCTGTTTCAGGTGTATTTCTTGTATATAGCATATTGTTGGATTTTGCTTCTAAATCCACTCTGCCAGTCTATTTCTTTTGATTGGTGAATTGAGGCCACTGACATTGATTGTTGTAACTGATATGTATTGAATTATCATTGTCATATTATTTTCGTTATTATTTTATTTATTTTTTTAATTTTTCTCCCTCTCCTTTTAAATTCTTCCCTATTTGATTTGATCTGTCATGCCTCCCTCCTGGAGTTGGGACCTTTATTGGCTTTTTCTAGGATGTTTTAAAAAATTGTTTGGAGTGCTGGTTTGGTATTCATGAAGTTTCTCAGGTATTCTTTGTCATGAATATATCTTACTTCTCTATCAATTTTGAAAGATAGTGTTGCAAGATATATCAGTCTGGGTTGGAGGCTGTTTTCTTTCAAAGCTTGAAATCCTGCACTCCAGGCTCTCCTTGACTTGAGTGTTTATGTTGAATAGTCAGTTGTGATTCTGATGGGCTTTTCTTTGCATGTTATTTGTTTCTTTTCTCTAACTGCATGTAGTATTTTGTACTTCTGGTGGGGGTCAATGTTCATCCATTTAGCTACAAATGTCACTAGTTTCTCATTCTTTATGGCTGAGTAGTACTCCATTTTATTTAAAAAGGAGCCACACATTGTCTTTATCCAGTATCCAGTTGATGGGCAACTGGGTTGTTTCCAAGCTGTAGCTATTACAAACTGTGCTACTATGAACATGGGTGCATATATATTGTTGTGGTATGATGCTTTTAATTATTTTGGTAAGATCCCGAGCAGGGGGATAGCTGCATCAAATGGGACCTCTAGTCCTAGGTTTTTGAGAAATCTCCATGCTGATTTCCACAATGCTTATACCAGCCTATACTCGTACCAGCCTACACTCCTACCAACAGTGGAGCAGGGTTCCTCTTTTCCCACAGCCCCAGCAGCATTT